TATATGTATATATATATATATATATATAGTACAAGAAAACAAATATGCAATCAGAGGCATTCTCTTTTGTCTAGCGAATTTATTTCTAGAGCTCTAATTTATTTATTTATTTATTTATTTATTTATTATTATATTTTATTCTAAAGGTCTACAGGCGCTGACTTCATGCGAGAGTTAGGCACATCTGCTGCTGCTGCTGCTGCGTGTTTTGTTGCTGCTGCAGTTGTTGCTGCTGCTGCAGTTGTTGCTGCTGCTGGTACAACGCAGCAAAAAGGCGTTGAGGGGGGCTACGGGCGTCACAGCAGCAGCAAAGCAGCGACTTTGTTGCTGCTTCTAAGCGAGAAGATTATAATATCTGCTTCTAACTTTTTCTGTATATCTCTTTCTCTGTTTGTCTGTCTCTGTCTCTGCTGCTGCTGCTGCTGCTGCTGTCTACTCATATCACCTTTAGTTGCTTCTTCCCCTTGGGGGTTGTTGCTGCTGCTGCTGCAGTTGGTGGTGCTTTTGCTGCTGCAATTGCTGCTACTGTTGCAATTGCTGCTGCTGGCTGCATTTGCTGCTGCTGCTGCAGTTGCTGCTGCTGCAGCAGTTGCTGCTGCTGCTGCTAATGAACTATCCTAAGGAATGCGTTTACAAACAGCCACAAGGGCTTCGTCCCTCCGCAGAACGGGGTTTCTATTAAATGTATCGCAGCATACCTGTTGCTGCTGCTGCTTCTGCTGCAGCTGCTGCTGCTTCTGCTGCAGCAGTCGCTGCTTTTGCTGCTGCAGCACCTGCTGCTTCAGCGCTTGCTGCTACAGCACCCGCTGCTTCAGCAGCAGCAAAAGCTGCTACAGCACGTGCTGCTGCAGCGTTTGCTGCTACAGCACCTGCTGCTGCAGCTTTTGCTGCTGCAGTACCTGCTGCTTCAGGTTTTGCCGCTACAGCACCTGCTGCTTCAGCTTTTGCTGTTGCAGCACCTGCTGCTTCACCGTTTGCTGCTGCAGCTTTTGCTGCTACAGCTGTTATGCTTCAACTGTTCCTACTTCTCCTGTCCTTGCTTGCAGTTGCTTCTCCTTTTGCTGCTGCAGTTGCTTCTCCTTTTGCTGCTGCAGTTGCTTCTCCTTTTGCTGCTGCAGTTGCTTCTGCATTTGCTGCTGCAGTTGCTTCTGCGGTTGCTGCTGGTTTATCAATGTACATTATCAAGCTTAGTTGAATTGATAATAATTTTATAATGACTGCATTAATATAGAATATGTTTGTACATTACATTTCTACTGAAGATGAACGCTATTGCTGCGCACCTTCCGCAGCCCCAGCAGCAGCCCCAGCAGCAGCCCCAGCAGCAGCAGCAGCAGCAGCAGCAGCATCAAGATGAGCAGCAGCATCAAGATGAGCAGCAGCATCAAGATGATCAGCAGCAGCAGGATCAAGATCAGCAGGATGATGAGCAGGATGAATAGGGGTTGTATTTGAATGCCCTGTGAATACCCACAGCCCGTGCGGATGCTGCTGCATAATGTGTTTGTGCAGCAGCAGGTTCTGCCACTTGTCTTTGAGCTGCGCGTTGCTTCGTCGGCCCAACAGTGCGCCGTACTTTTGCTCAATTTGCCTCCAGCTTCCTACGCCTAGTCTGTTTACTGCTGAAACAAATAGCATCGTCTCTCCTGCAGACCACCGACTTCGAGCCCTAAACACAAACACATATATATATATATAAATGTATATAAATATATATATATATATATAAATATATAAATGTATATATATATATGTATATATATGTATATGTATATACAATGCCATACATACACTCCCTTGCACCTTTTATTCTATCATATATATAGATATATATAATATATATATATATATATATATGTCAATGTGTATATATAATATATGTATATATATGTATATATATATATATTTATATAAAGATGCATGTATATATATGTAGATGCAGATACAGACATATAGATATAAAATCATGTGATAATATGCATGCATATATATATATACATACATATATATATGCATGCATATAAATATATGTATATATATATCTGTTTATATATATTTATTTTTGTTATTGTTATAAATATATTCATATGTACATAGAATTAGAATCAGCAGCATTAGAATTTTCTTACAGATATTTATTTTAATATTTATTACAGCCACAATATAATAAATATAAATATAAATAATAATAACAGCAACACAAAATAATAATAATAACAATAATACTAATAATAAATAATTAATATAAATAATAATAATAAATATAAATAATAATAATAACGAACATCAGAGAAAAGAACAGTTTTAAGGATATACAAAACACAGAATAATAAATATAATAAATAAATAATAAAAATAAATATAATAAACAAATAATAAAAATAAATATAATAAACAAAATATAAAATAAATAAATAAATAAATAAAACAACAATAATAATAATAAGAAAAAGTAAATAACAGAACATCAATGTCCGTCTCTGTTTTATTTTAATATATATATATATATTTATTTTATTTAAATATATATATTAATATTTATTTATTTAAATTAAATATATTTTTAAGTTTATATATTTTATTTGCTTCATCCCGCACTTCTTTCCTTGACAAGAAGACATATCCTCTGCAGCTCTTGCTTGCTTCACTCGTCCATCTGCAGCAGCAGCAGCAGCAGCAGCAGCAGCAGCAGCAGCAGCAAACACACCACTCAACCTCCCTGCTACTGCTGCTATTGCTACTGCTGCTATTGCTGCTGCTGCTATTGCTATTGCTGCTGCTGCTGCTGCTGCTGTTGCTGCTGCTGCTGCTGCTGCAGGGCTAGGGGAAACCTACCCTGTGTGGGGCGGGGGCCTCCTTGGTGTGCATTATGCTGCAGCGGCGTTGAGGGACCCTTGCTGCAGCAGCAAACCGCACAAGGCAGCAGTAGCAGCAGCAGCAACAGCAGCAGCAGCAATGAGAAGGAGACAGACAAAACGGTAAAAGTAGAGAGATGAGACAGCAGAATAAAATAAAATATATATAATAATAATACATAAAATATAGAACAAAATAATAAAATAAACAAAAGCTGTCAGCTACACCCACAGCATAAACAACAGCAGCAAGCAGCAGCAAATGAAAATAAAGAAGCAAAATAGACAAAGAGAAGCAGCAAACACAAACAAACAAAATAAACAACAGCAAATATTAAAAGGCTGCTGCTACCCACTGCTCCGCTCCTGCTGCTGCTGCTGCTGCTGCCTCGCCGCACTCGGATGCGCTCCACTGCTGCTGCTGCTGCTGCTGCTGCTGCTGCAGATCAGCAGCCTCCTGCCGAGCAAGCTTCGCTGCTCTGCCTTTCCTGTCCGCTATGGGGCCCACTAAGACACCTTTGGTTGGGAGCCCTGCATAACTTCTGCTGCTGCTGCTGCTGCTGCTGCTGCAGTGCTGCGTTGACCCTGGCCTTCTTAACCACGGCAGCTCCCTCCGAACAGCAAAGGGGCCCTGGGGGGCCCCCTCTGAGCCCCGTGAAGCCCTTCCGCAGTCTTCTGCTGCTGTTGTTGCTGCTGCACTTGCTGCTGCTGCTGCTGCTGCACTTGCTGCTGCTGCTGCTTGCCTGTTCTTCGCCTCTCTGTATGCTAGCTGAGCAGCAACTGCAGCGGGGACGTGCGAGGGCCGGCTGTTCTGCAGCTCCTGGGTAGCCGCATGCTGCAGCTGCTGCTGTTGCTGCAGTTGCTGCTGCTGTTGCAGCTGCTGCTGTTGCTGCACCTGCTGCTGCTGGAGCAGCTGTTGCTGTTTCTGTTGTTGCTGCATCTCTTGCTGCTGCATTTGCTGCTGCTGCATATGTTGCTGCTGCATTTGCTGCTGCTGCAGCTTCTGCTGCTGCAGCTGCTGCTGCAGCAGCATCTCCACTTGCGTGCGCTGCGAAGCCCACGTCGCATGCCACAGCAGCAAATGAGGCGGGGGGAGAGCGCGGCAGGCCTCCTGAACAAAGCAGCAGATTTGCTGCTGCACTGCAGCAGCAGCAGCTTGCAGCTGCGGCCCTAGAGGTAGATCCCCAGGGGTAGATGGCGAAGAGGCATCTTCGATAGGAGGAGACGCAGCAGCAACTTCTGCTGCTGCTGCTGCTGCTCCTGCTGCTGTTTCTGTCGCCGCTTGCGCTTCCGCTGCTGGTTCTGTTGATGATGGTGGTGCTGCTGCTGCTGCTACTGCTGTTGCTGCAGCTTCCGCAGCTGCCGTGTTCCCCGCAGCTGTAGCCTCTGCCTGCTTTGATGCTGATGATGCAGGTGCCGCTGCTGCTGTTGCTGCTGTTGCTGCTGCTGCTGCTGCTGAGTCTTGCGACGCTGCCCTAGAAGCAGTGGCGTCCCCCCCCGTTGACGGCGGTGAGGACGTCTGCTGCTGCTGCAGTTGTTGTTGCTGCAGCTGCTGCTGCTGTTGCTGCTGCTGCTGCTCTTGGTCGCTGCGCTGAGAAGCCTCGCCCGATGTGTGGGGTTGCCGCTGCTGCTCGCTGCTGCGCTTTGCTGCAGCATTTGAAGCCTCTGCAGCAGCAGAAGAGGAGGTTCCCGCTGCTGTTGCTGGTGCTTCCAGCTTTATATCTGCTGCAGTGGCCGGTGCAGCAGCAGCTGCTGCAGGAGCTGGTGCAGCAGCTGCTGCTGCTGTAGCACAACGAGAAGCTGCAGCCTGGCTTGCTTCTTCTTCCTGCAGCAGCTCCAGCAAAGTTGAGACGGATACCCACAAACCATCTGGCTGCTGCGAGCCTGCTGCTGTTGCTGCTGCTGTTGTTGCTGCAGCAGCAGCAGGTGCAGCAGCACGTGCAGATCCTGCAGCAGCACCAAGCGCAGTTACACCAGGCGCAGCAGCAGCGTCACTTGCTGCAGCAGGGGATGCTGCTGCTGCAGCAGGAGTTGCTTCTCCTGCTGCTGCAGCAGTTGCTGCTGGCGCTTGCGCAGCATTTGGCTGTGCCCCTTCTTGCTGGCCTCGTTCTATGCTTGAGCTGCTGCAGCAGCAAGGCCCCGTCATGCAGCAGCAGCAGCTGCTGGTGGTGCTGCTGCTGCTGCGGCACGTGGGAGAATCAATACTTTGCTGCTGCAGCAGCTGCACGAACTCCCCAAGGCTTTGGTCTGCAGCAATGCGAGCAGCCGATGCAGCAGCAGCAGCAGCTGCTGCTGCTGCTTCGGCAGGAATGCAGGTCCAGGAGTTTTCTGCTCCTCCACCTGTTGCTGTTGCTGTTGTTGCTGCTGCTGCTGCAGGTGCAGCACGGCCCCCAAATGAAGCCGCTGCCTGCAGCCACAGCACAACGAAGTCCCCCAAACAGCAGCACGACTCAGCAGCAGCAGCAGCAGCAGCAGGAAAAGCAGCAGCAGCAGATTAATGCGCAAGATGCGCAAAGGCCATGCACAAACAGCAGCAGCAGCAGCAGCAGCAGCAGCAGGAGGTGGACGTACACACGGTGGTTGGAGACAGAGGGAGACCTGCAGCATTGTGTTGCTGCACTGCAGCAGCAAATTCTGCAGCCCCAGAGATACCCCTATCAAAGAACTTCGGTCAGGGGGCCCCCACTGGGGGCCCCAGCGAAGCAGCAGCGAAGACATGCAGCTGGGGCGGGGCCCCTCGGAGTCTCTGAGAGAGGAGGCTGCTGCTGCTGCTGCTGCAGCAGCACTAGAAGGCACTGCTGCTGCAGCTGGTGTTGTTGCTGCTGCTGCTGGCTGCTGAGCACATTGCAGCAGCAGCAAATCCTTTGCAGCCTCAGCCCCAAATATAGAAATGAACTTCCAAAAGGAAGGACACTGCTTCCGCTGCTGCTGCTGCTGCTGCTGCTGCTGCTGCTGCTGCTGCTGCTGCTGCGGGTCCGCATCAGCAGAACTTCCCAGCAGCGCAATGAGATGTAAATAAGAAGAGCCAAGCAGCAGCAGCAGCAACGAGCGAAACAGAGAAGCGCGGCTAACACCGAGGGATAGGGGGCCCCCAAGGGGCCCCCTTGGAGACTCCTGCTGCTGCGGCCCCTCAGACAGCCCAGAAGCTGAGCTCTCTAACTGCAGCAGCAACACAACGAGTGCCTGCAGCAGCGCAGCGCCAAGCGGGTCATTCTGCTGCAGGCCTACAGCCCCAGCAGCAGCAGCAGCTGCTGCTGCTGCTGCTGGAGCATGAGAAGGCGAAGTGGGTTTGCTGCTAGTTTGGAACTGCTGCTGCTGCTGCTGCTGCTGCTGCTGTTGCTGCTGCTCTTGTTGCTGCTCCAGCGGGGCAGCAGCAGCAGCAACAAGAGCAGCAGCAGCAGGGGCCCCTGAATGCGTTTGCGGGGGCCTTTGTTTGTGAAAGCAGGTGAGAGAGCAGCAGTTTGGCGAGACAAGAAAAACAAAAGATAAAAGATCTGCAAGCAATACAGACAAAGACGGGGGCCTGCTATGTGAAGCAAACGAAGGGAGACGAGGGAAGGGGCCCCCCTCTTCTGTGGGGCCCCCCAGCAGCAAATGATAGCACCAAACCTGTCGCCGCAGGTCGCTGCTGAGGTGCAGCAAGAAGGAGTCATCTAACGCCGACCAATCAGAAGCAGCATCACCTTCTGCTGCTGCTGCTGCTGCTGCTGCTGTTGCTGCTGCTGCTCCGGCTGAGTCTGCTGCTGCTGCTGTTTCAGCACCTGCATCTGCAGCGCCAATGAAGGATTCGCCCCTTCCCAGAGGGCTATCGACAGCGGCATGCGCCGTTGTTGTTGCTGCTGCTGCTGCTGTTCCTGCTGCTGCTGCAGCAGAGGCTGCAGGAGGGGTGCTAGCAGCAGGCTTCAGTAGAAGCTCTTTAGGAGCAGAGGGCGTCGCCTCCACCCAGGCGTTCAGCCGGGAGAAGGGCGTGGGGGTGGCCAGGCGGTGTGGGCCCGGCATTCGCCAGCAGCAGCAGCAGCAGCAGCAGCAGCAGCAGCAGCGGCGGCAGCAGCAGCGGGAGCAGCAAGAGGAACCTGTATCCACCTGCCCAGACAAACTGCAGCGAGAAGCAACACAAACAGCAGCAACCGACACGAAGAAGGGCAGGAGTTATGCTGCTGCTGCTGCTGCTGTTGCTGCTGCTGCTGTTGCTGCTGCTGCTGCGGCGAGTTTAAGTAAAAGAGGAGACTGCATGCAGAAAAGACAAACAATGAAGAAAAAAGCCGAAGGAATACAAATATAAACTAAACAACCACTAAACCCTAAACCCTAAACCCTAAACCCTAAACCCTAGAACCACCTACAACATATAACACCCCCCAGCGGAGCAGCCCCTATACAGCGGCCGCACGCCGCCCTCCTCTTTCTTTGTTTTGTTTGTCTCTAAAGGATTTAATAAATTAAATAATGAAAACCCTAAACCCTAAACCCTAAACCCTAAACAAAAATAAAAAAGAATTTATCTTCTTGCTGCACTCCGCCGCGCAGACAGCAGCCTACGCCTTATTTAAGCGAGGCCTGTTGCTGCTGCAGCAGCAGCAGCAGCAGCAGCAGCAGCAGCAACAGATCAATGCTGCTGCGCTTGGAAGCCTCAAGCAGAAGAAAATAAACAATAAACAAAACCCTAAACCCCTTAATCTCTTTCTTTGCTTTTTATTTAAAGTTCAGCTACACACAATACCCGAAAAACCCAAGTGACCCCAGCAGGTAGTGGGCTAAACCCTAAACCCTAAACCCCTAAACCCTAAACCCTAAACCCTAAACCCTAGGCCCTAGACCCCTTACAGCTAGTAAACCCTAAACCCTAAACCATAAGCCCTAAGCCTAAACTCTAATCCCTCAGCTCTAAACGCTAACCGCCCTACAGCTGCTAAACCCTAAACCCTAAACCCTAAACCCTAGAACAGCACTAAGCCCTGAAGCCCAAACCCTAAAACAATTCCAAGCCCTAAATCCTACACCTTTAAAACCCTGAACTATACACCCAGTGGGGCGCTGTCTTCCTAAACGCCAAACCCTAAACCCTAAACCCTAAACCCTAAACCCTAAACCCTAAAGCCTAAACCTCCGTGACCCCGAGGCTTCCCCCCTCCCCCGCCTTTAAACAGAGAGAAACACTGAGGGTAAACCCTATAAACTAAACCCTTAAGAGGCCTCTAAACCCTAAACCCTAAACCTTCGCTTCACTCGCGATAGGAGGAGAGGCTTTTATTATACTAAACCCTAAACCCTAAACCTCTCCTCAAGGCTCCTCTCTCTCTTGCCTAAACCCTAAACCCTAAACCCTAAACCCTAAACCCTAAAGCCTAAACCCTAAAGCAAGTACACGACAGACGCGAACGATTGCTTCATGTAAATATATAAATATATGAATATATAAATATATAAATATTATAAATATACAAATATATATATATATATATATATATATATATATATATACAATCGAGAGATAACAGCCCCCAAGGGAGGCTGGGAGCCCTGCG